TGTGTCTGAGGGGACGTGGGTGTGTTTTGCGTTAGCGTGTGTCTGAGAGGATGTGGGTGTGTTTTGTGTTAGTGTGTGTCTGAGAGGCAGTAGTGCTGGGGGTTGGTGTGTTCGCTCTGTGTCTGGTACAGGTCTGACTCCAGATTTTCCTTGCGCTCCCTGGAGCAGCTGCTGCCTGACCCTGAGAAGAGCTGGAGCCCAGCCCCTTAGAGGCCATGTGGCCCAGACCCCCCTGGAGCTGGGAGTGTGTGTGGGTCTCCCCTGGGGAGCTGCCCCCCTTCCTGGCCAGGGGCTTCTCTTCCCCGCCCCTGGGGCTCCAGGTGTCAAGCCACTTGGGCTCCCTTTGTAGCAACCTTGTCACTTGTAGAGGCTGGATCAAAGGGGGGGATATTGACACGCAAAGTGGGGCAGCCTTTCCCAGACTCCCACCGCTGGGCTTGGGGGGATCGGGAGCCTTATGCATGTGTGTGTGTGTGGGTGGGGGGGAGCAACGGCACACATTGCATGGATACATCCAAAGGTGGTGTGAGGGTGTCTATTTGCAGGGCACCTCACCCCATGGGACCCAGAGCCCTGCCCTGCAAGGGTATCCCCCACCACAGAGATACCTCTCCACAGAGTGTGGCTGCAGGGACATTGGTTCCCCTTGGATCTCTGCCCTGGTGGAAGCCGGCATCTTCTGGTGGGGGGGAGCACAGAATCACAGGACTGGAAGGGACCTCAAGAGGGCACCTAGTCCGGTCCCCTGCACTCAAGGCGGGACTAAGTATTTAAAAACCAGGACTAAGGTTTTTAAGGCCCGGCTTGACAAAGCCCTGGCTGGGATGATTTAGTTGGGGTTGGTCCTGCTCTGAGCAGGGGGTTGGACTAGATACCTCCTGAGGTCTCCTTCAACCCTATGATTCTATGATCTAGACCATCCCGGACAGGTGTTTGTTCAACCTCCTCTTAAAAATCCCCAATGATGGAGATGCTACCACCTCCCTGGGCAATTTATTCCAGTGCTTCACCACCCTGACAGTTAGGAAGTTTTTCCTAATGTCCAACCTAAACCTCCCTGGCTGCAATTTAAGCCCATTGCTTCTCGTCCTGTCCTCAGAAGTTAAGGAGAACAATTTACCTCCCTCCTCCTTGTACCAACCTTTTATGGAGTTGAATGGGATGGCGAAGTTTTTTTTTTTTTTTTTTTGGGGTGGGGGGGGGAGAAAAGCCAAGTAAGAAGGAGAGAAAAATAAGAAATATGAAGAAAGAAAGATAAAATAAGAAAAGAAAAAAAACCTGGGAAAGATGGAAAGACAAAAAAACCAAGGAAACGTGAGAAAGAAAGAGGACAATAAGAAAGATAGAAGCAAGGGAAGCAAGAGATTAAAGGAAAATCAGGAAAAAAGCAGAAGAAAAATAGAGAAGGGAGGAAAAAAAGAAGGGAGCCATGGGGTTGATCCAAAATACTCACACTTGCATTGGCCGGGAATCGAACCCGGGCCTCCCGCGTGGCAGGCGAGAATTCTACCACTGAACCACCAATGCTGCTGGTGGCTATTTCATCAGCCCTACGTCTTTCACAGCTATTGTAACACGCTCTGCTTCCTTTGCACACGTGCAGGGCCACCGCCCCGCTGTGTGTATTGCAAACCCTGTCCCCTCTGGCTTCCACCCTCTGGGCTGCATCTGCTTGGGCCTAGTCCAGAAATGCCACCCCCCGGGGTTATTGTCTTCTCCCCAGGCAGGCGACGGCATCTTTGCACCAGAGGAAAACATTCTGCCCTTCCCACTGGTCTGGGGATGCTGGTGTTACTGCTATCAACTGGGCTGGGCTTAGAC